AAATCAGATGTCATATTACACTGGGCAAATCTGCGACAAAAGACATCTTTAAAATGTTAAAAGCAAAAATACCCCTTTGAAGACTAAAGTATGCCTAACCCATGCCATGGTATTTTCAGTTGCCTCATAGACATGTGAAAGCTGGGCAATGAATAAGGAAGACTAAAGAAGAGCTGATGTCTTTGAATTGTGGTGTTGGTGAAGAATACTGAAAATACCCTAGACTGCCAAAAGAGCAAACAAATCTATCCTGGAAGAAGTATGGCCAAAATTCTCATTAGCAGTGAGAATAGACAGATTTCATCTCACCTACTTTGGCCATGTGGTCAAAAGGGACCAGTCGATGGAGAAATATATCATGCTGGGTAAAACAGAGGGTCAGTGAAGAAGGGGAGGAGCCTCAAACAGATGGACTGGCACAGAGGCAGCAATGATGGGCTCAAGCACTGCAGGGATTGTGAGGATGTCACAGACAGTGTTTCATTGTGTTGTGCATAGAGTCAGTATGAGCCAAAGCCAACTCAATGGCACATAACAACAAACAATATCACAATAACAAACATGCATTTGTATCAATTTAGGATTTACCAAACTGTCTATTATAGTCCTTTTTCTTCCCCCACAGAATAACCATCCGAGGAAGAATAATAACATTTTGCAGATGCAGAAATTAAGTGTCAAAAACATTACCTCTAGAAGGGGGAAGAAAGCTGCTGCACTGTGGAAACTGCAGTCAATGTCATGAGACAAAGTGTATGTGAACTGCTGTACGGAAAATGAATTTGCTCTGTACACTTTCCCCAAAATCACAATAAAAATTAAACAAACAAACAGCAAAACCTCTCTCAGCTGAAGAGTTAAACACACAAGATTTAAATTCAAGGGTTCTGACTCCAAAACCTATGCCCATTGTACATCTTAATTGACAATTCATTTTAAAGAAAAAAAAATGTAGACATGTATGGTGTTAAATGTAAAATAAAATTATTTTATTTTAAATTATAAAAGATAATGCCTTATATTTTTTAATTTATCCTGAAATGTAAATAACACACTGTTTTTACAGAAGTAAAAATACTAAGTGATCTTTTTTATAAAGAAGATAAGAATAGGTATACACAGAAAGCAACACTCTTTGATGGTTACCAGAGAGGGAGAGGAAGGAAGAATCACTTTCTAGATAGTAGACACTCTATTACTTTTAGGGATGGGAAAGGCAATGCTCAATATGGGTAAAGTCTGCACAACTGACAAAGGTAAATGATGACACTAAGAAGTACACAAGAATAAAGGATAATTTTGGTAAGTACTATAACATATACAATTTTGCTACAACAGTCTAACAATCAAAAAATAAGTAGATAGGTATGCATATCTACCTATGCATGTTAGTATATGGATGTGCATTTGTAGATGTATCTGTGTTGTTGTTGTTGTTGTTGTTATGTGCCATCAAGTTGGACCTGACTCATAGCGACCCCTCCTTGGGTTTCTGAGGCAGTATCACTATGGAAGTAGATTGCCCAACCTTCCGAGGAGTGGCTGGTGAGTTTGAACCGCCAGCCTTCTGGTTAGCAGTCAAGTGCCTTAGGCACTATGCTACCAGAGCTCTGTAGTTATAGGTATATACGTGTTTGTGTGTGCTGTTTATTGTTACAATACAATAAAGCACATAGGGGGCATACTTATAGATACTCCCTAAACATAACCAAACACCTCACAGGATTGGTTTACTGAATTTGAAAGTTTAAGACGATAGTCTCTTGGTACAACTCAGTTAGCAGCATAGTTCATAAAATATTGTTCTATACCCTACTTTACTGATTAGCATCTGGGGTCTTAAAAACTTGCAAGTAGACATGTAAGATAATATTATTGGTCTATATTCATCTGGAGCAAAAGAGAAAGAAGGAAACCAAAGATCTAAGAAGAAATTAGTCTGCAGGACTAACAGCCCATACGAACCTCAGCTTTATCCACCCTGAGATCAAAGCCAGATGGTGCCTGGCTACCACAAGTGACTGTTCTGACCAGAGATGCAATAGATAATACCAGATAGAATGAGAGAAAAATGTAGAAAAAAAACTCAAATTCCTAAAAAAGTCCAGTCTGGAAAGGTAGAGCCTAGTGGACCAACCTGAAATTATCACCCTGAGAGACACTTTAAACTTGAAACTGAAGCCACTTCCGGAGGTCACCTCTCAGCCAAACAATAAACCATATCACCTGTGACTAGTGTGCTCTTTAAATAGTCATCCATATGAGATCAAATGGTCAATATTTACCCTAAAGCAAACATGAGAAAGTAAGGGGGCTAGGGAAGCTAGATTAATAGAAACAGAACAACCAAATTAGAAATCATAAGAATGCTGACACATTGTGAAAAATGTAACCAATGTCAATGAACAACATGTATAGAAACTGTTGAATGGCAACTAATTTGCTGTGCAAACTTTTGCCAAAAAATACTGTCTCTTCTGAAGTAACTATAAACATTGCTTTGAATTTGTATATTCTACCATACTAACATAGTAATATAATATTATTTCAAGGTTTATAAGTATTAATAAAGATGATAATCATCAGTAAGGCTGTAGGTAATATTAGAATACAGGGAATATAAGATAAAATTAGATCATACCCATTAAAATATTAGATCTAAATCTTCTGAGTCTGAGATATATGTGTTTACCTATTGAAGGATAAATTCAAATGTTTTTAGCTCTTTAGCAGTAGAAAGGGGGAAGGGAAGGCCCAAGTAACAGATTCCACTTGGTCTGAACGAAAGCTTGCAAAGAATATTTCACGCCCTATCGAGCAAGACTGTAGAAATGAAAGGGGAACTATTTAATATGTAGTCTGTGCTCTTGGTCTCTCAATTCCATTTTGAAATTGAACTGATGATAACATATTTACAAAAATCATCTTAATGAACTCAAGACTTGACAAAATGGCATGTCAATGACATCACAAAGAATATATCTTATTGATCAGGAATAACTTCTTTTCCTCCCTCATTATATAAAATATACTCCATCACGTAAATATACAAATTTAGAGACAAAAAGTATAAAGACGATTGGTTGAAATACTAAAAGACATCACTATGGTGTTTTTTTTTTTCAGGCACTCTAGTGGCCTAAAGCATTTGACTGTTAACTAGAAGGCTGGGGGTTCAAACCCACCAGCCACTCCTCCGAAAGAAGATTGGGCAGCCTACTTTCATAGTGATACCACCTTGGAAACCCAAGGAGGGGTTGCTATGAGTTGGATCTGATTCAACGGCAGTGAGTTACGGCATTTTAGCTGAAAAATAGGAGTACAGATAATATTCCTATATTTAAATAATCATATGATTTTGAAAGACATTTTAATATATACAGAATGCTTCCATATACATATGTTAGCAGATTTAATGTTATAATCATAGATCATTAAAACTGGAATATTACTTAATAGTGTAGTGATTGGTTCACATTTTTTACTCCCTGAAAATATGTGAAGTAAAACTCAGAGCAGTCAAGTGGTTTGATAAGTGAAGTAAAAATTAGCAGTAAAACCAAAATTCAACTATAGTCTGATGATCTTTCACTGTAACACAGCAGGTAGGTTCTGGGTAGTATACAGACAAGAAAACTAAGACTGATGTGGCTGTTACTTGCCCAAAGACAATGGGAGAAAGAAAAATAGAAAAGCAGTGAGTTGAAGGCTTTTTTAACTACTTAAATTCTTATATCCTTATTTAATGATCTCCACAAGCTTGTTATTATAGTTTCCTAATGTTATCTCATTCTCTTCCCTTCAAAATCCCCAAGATACATAATCAATTGGAATACAATATAGTGTTCTGACCCTAATGTCTCAGAAATAAACTATGTATATAAATCCACAGTAGTTATCTACAGAGAAACTGGAAATTAAAGTTACAAACTGAGGAAACAAATTAAATTATAGGCTATATAAAATTTGTTATTTTATGGCCAATGTTAAACTACTGAGCTGTTAGTATTCTCTGTTCCTAAAATCATCAAGCAGAAAATTGAAAATCTAGAACCCCAGAGATATAATCTAGGACGAACTTTTTTTTTCCCCTTTGAAAATAACAATTTCCAAAGAACTACTGGGCCACATAAAACATACTATCTTCACTTCAGACTCAGAGAGTCATCATTACTTCCCCTGTGGAGTGTCACAGCTTTCACCTCATTTCTTGATGACAGTAAAATGACTGAACGTGAGTCAATCAGTATATTAGCAAATCACAACTGAAAATAGCACTTTTCTAAAAATACAGACTATCTGCTCTAAGTACAGGAGTCATGTTCCTAGCTAGAGTGGTAGCTGGTCCTTTCTTCAATTGTATATTTAACTAATACAATGCTAACAAAAGATGGAAATAAATATAAATTCTGGTGTAACCCAACTAGAAACATGGAAAAATAAGTATGTTTCATATGAAAGCGTTAAACTCAAGTAACTACAAATTCTCTTTCATGATCACACATAAATCTTCAAAATGTTTACAAGAATTCAACTGACTGGAACAGCTGGCAATTCTTTATCATAATATGGTATTGACACTAGGCTTTAATTTAATAATTTCTGTTCTTTAAAAAGGAGCTCTGGTGGCTTAGTGCCTAATGCATTTGACTGCTAACCAGAACTGATGATCCCTTTTTGTGGCCTATGGAATGGAAGGTTGGGCAATCCTACTTCCGTAGTGATACTGCATCGGAAACCCAAGGAGGGGTCGCTATGAGTCGGGGCCGACTCGATGGCACATAACAACAACAACAACGGAATGTAGTTTCTCTGGTTAAAATATATACAAGATGGTCAAAGTGCTAAAGTGTCTAAACTGATATTTTGTGGATTTTAGAATTATGTAACTTTTTTTTGTTAAAATTACATGAAAAATAATTATTTAAATATTATTTTAGAAATGTTATTCCAGAGAAGTGTTAGAAATACTTTTTTTAACTTTAGAAATATTCACTTACCCTGCAACAATTTAGTTCTTCTGCTGTAAGTATGATAGTACCACATTTCTTCCCTGGAATCCCTCTAAAACAACAAAAAAAAAATTTAATTTAATTTTCATATTAATATTAAATAAGTATTGTATATATATTAAGTAATCAAACAAAGAATATGCTACTAATAGAGGGCTCTTCTCTAACAGTATGGTATTAACCTTCTTTATCTATCCTATAAATCTCCACCTTCCCATGAAGCTAAAGTTTCTTATAATTTTTTTTTCTCTTCATTTTTATTGTGGTGAAATACATATAACAAAATATTTGCTAAATTAACCATTTTTATGTATACAATTTAGTAGCATTAATTATATTTATAACATTGTGCAAACATCACGTTGTCTTTTAACACGTTGGTCCTCTGCTCAAGAATCTTCAATAGTTCCATGTTGGTTATCATGTGAAATATAAACTTTGTTTCATGGTATCTAAGTTTTCTTAATAATTAAACCCTTCTGCTATTCTTGGCTTTCATTATTTATCTATCCTTTCTTCAAGCTGGTTAATTCTTCTTTGTGTTTACCTTCATGCCGTGATATGCCACAGCTTATAAACTGATCTCTGTTCTGCCTCAACCCTTCCAAGTCCCCAGTGGGGGTTTCACTTATTGCAAGAATCTTACCTCAATCAACCTCACACAAAGCTCAGCCTTCTTCAAATTCCTATTGCATTTAGCATCAGTATCACAGACATAGCATTTAATCATTCCTAAATTGTTACAATAACATATTTTTTACCCTTTTTTTTTCTCAAGTTGATTTTAAGTTTAATCTGAGCAAAAGTTATGGGTTAAGCCTCTGTAAACCAACAAAATTAAATATCTATACATACAGGTACTCAATATGTAACCACATATATAATATATAAGAAAAATAAAACTCCTACTCCATTTTTTTTCTACATGTTGATGGTGTATATATGCTTATCTAGCTTCTACCTGAAGTCAAGAGCAAAGCCCACTAGGTATATCCAAGGTGTATATATCCTTCTCAACTTCACATTAGAAAATATAGAGATGAGTCCATAAGAAACTTGCAAAGAGTAACTCTAATGTTGTAACTGTACTCTTTATGGTCTTGGGTCCTGTCATAAACCACTGCCCAGATTTTTCTGTGTGTTACAGAATGTTACAGGGAAATACAACTGGTGGACTTCAGGGCACAACAAATGTTTGTTCCCTTAAGAATATAATTTACTGCTAATAAGGTAGGTCAACATATATAAAATAAATACAAATAATCCTGCTCTACATGTACAGAGAAATTGGAGATTTAGCATGACTTGACAAGGAATAAGGTGAAAGAATAGAGAGCTAAATTATTCTGAGTTGTGAATATGTACACGTAACTTGTACTTACTCTAAAACTGGTCTATCCCTCCTGTCTCCCTATTCTCAATTTTTTTTTTGTTTCCGTAAAACACTACTCAGTTTTAAACTAAAAATGCCATCTCATAGCTTGTACAAGAAAATGTCTATCACAAAATCTTCTCTCTACCATCTCACTACTCATCATTAGGGTAACTGTACATGCCAGGATCTTCATTTTCTCTAGGTCTTTATGTCTAAGAGTTCAATTAATTTCATTTCACATTTTTTTCTTACAATATTATATACCTGAATGTTGTTGTTGTTGTTGTTATGTGCCGTCGAGTCAGCCCCGACTCATAGCGACCCCTCCTTGGGTTTCCGAGGCAGTATCACTACGGAAGTAGGAC